TATGAAAGTAGAAATTGCAAAAGTACCTTTCCCTTATCTTCTTCACAACCTTCCTCTTTCTCCATGCTTATTTACTTTCCCCCTCTCTATTCTATTCTCCAACACCAGTTTCATGGTCTATTCTCTTTCCCCCTCCCCTCTCCTTCCTTCCTCATTTCCTTTTTCTTCTTCATTTCTCACCTAGGTTTGGGGTTTGTTTTGGATTGTAGAACCTAGATTTGGTGGTTTCTTAAACCTAGATTGATTATGGATGATTGCAAAACCTAGATTTGCAAGACCGAATCCTTGAAGACGAGCTTGCAAACACAAAGGTCATTTGCTGGATCTCTTCCACAACAATAGTTTTGTTTGAGTCTCCATCACCATACCCTTTTTCCTTTCCTCCTATTGAAGTTTTTATACTTGTTAAATTACCTTGTTGATTTTTTTTTTTTCAAACAAAGAAATGGAGAGAAAATCAAGAAAAAGATGAAGAGTAGAACATAAACTATAATGGAGAGGAGTACAACACTCCAACTCACAAATTTCATTGATATTTTGCTATTTATAGCTATTTATAGCAGAAACAACACAATATAAAATAAATTCTCACCAAATATTTTACCTAATATAATAAAATTCAACAAACCTTTAAAGGAAGATTACATTCAAAAGATTTATTGCCATTTTTTGCAGCTCGATGTTGTTGTGACTCTGTAACCACTTTGCAGCCTTTTATTTCACTTGCATTTGCATTTCATTTACTATTCATTACAACTTCATTTCATCAACATTTGTAGCTTAGCTTGTTGCACATATTTGTTGTCATTTGAAGCTTCATTTCCATCATATTTGTAGCTAAATTCCTGCCATATTTTCTATCAAATTGCAACGTCATTTGTTGTCAATTTTTTAGCCTCATTGCTACCATTTCATGGTAGTTTCATTTCATCATTTTGCGGTTTGATTGCCACTTTTCTAATAATATTTCCAACACTCCTCCTTGGCATCAAAGCTAAAAACTAATAATATTTCCAACACTCCTCCTTGGCATCAAAGCTAAAAAAAAAAAAAAAAAATCAAAACAAAAACAAATTTTTACCTAAGCACCTTGGATCAACTGTCCATCTTGTACTTGGTTTTCATATTTTCTTCACAACCACACACCACCCTTCTCAAACAACCTCAATTCCACCTTCATTGCAGCTTTCCTTTGTTGGGAATTTGCTATTCAAAACAAATTTTGGAGGTTTTGCAACTAAGTTGCATTTTATGAGTAAATAAAACAAGGATTTTGGTACCTCAAAGTGCTGCTTCATCGTCTTTTTCATCTTCTATAGCTTCCTTTCACTAAAGATTTGACTACTCGATCATGAAAATGACTTGATGCAATGTTGAATACTCTTTTGGTCCCAATCTACACCTTCACAAGCCATCCTTGCCTCTTTTGATTGATGCTGTAGCATAAAAACACCACCCATACCAACAATATAAAACACCATCAAACCAGCATCTTTTGCACGATGCTTCTTGCAAATCTTTTGCCTCAATAAGATTGAAGGATGTCAAGTTAACCTTCAACTTCACAACTTCACATGCTCTCTTGTGCCTTAACAAATTTGTTGCTTCTTTTTGTCAACCACTTTCAAAGATTGAAGGACCTAAAGTTAATCTTCACAAAATCACAGCATCTTTGCTGCATTTTTGGTCAGAGGAGTTTGCTGTGGTCAGGAAAAAAGGTGTTTTGAAATGAAAGACTTGCTGGAAAACATTTGCGTTTGGTTAGAGTTTGTGGTGGTAGATTTCCCTCAAATTTCTCTCACACAAGCCTTCAAAGATCATGAAAGGCTCTGATACCAGGTTGAAATTTTTTTTTTTCAAACAGAGAAATAGAGAGAAAATTAGGAAGAAGATGAAGAGTAGAACATAAACTACAATGGAGATGACTATAACACTCCAATCTAGAAATTTCATTGATATTCTGCTATTTATAACTATTTATAGCAGAAATAACACAATATAAAATAATTTTTCTCACCTAATATTTTACTTAATACAAGAAAATCTATCAAACTTTTAAAGCAAGATTACATTCAAAAGATTTGCTACCATTTTGTGTAGCTCGATGTTGCTATGACTTTGCAGCCACTTTGTAGCCTTTCATTGCATTTGCATTTGTATTCCTTTTCCATTTGCATTTCATTTACTACTCATTACAACTTCATTTCATCAATATTTGCAGCTTAGCTTGCTCCACATTTTTGCTGTCATTTAAAAGCTTCATTTCCATCATATTTGTAGCTAAATTACTGCCATATTTGTTGTCAAATTGTAGCTTCATTTGCTGTCAATTTTCAGCCTCATTGTTGCCATTTCATGGCAGTTTCATTTCATCCTTTTGCAGGTTTGAATGCCACATTTCTAATAATATTACCCAAATTGGGTTCTAACCCTAGCCTAGATTACATCCGGGTTTTGCAACCCAGATCACCTAAAATCAATGTTTTCATTCTTCTTCTTCTTCTTCATTTTTTTTTTTTTTTTTTGTCTTTTCAATATGGGTTTTGAAATGCTATTCTCAACCACTATGGTTGGGTAACAGAGAGATTAGGAAGGAGCTTAGATTATGGAATCAAGAGAGAAATTTACTACCATTCATTGGGTAACGGTTTTTTCTTTTTTGTGTTTATTTTTAGTTTAGGGGTTGATTTGCCACCATTCATTGAGTACAGGAGCTGATTTGCCTTTTTGCCTTTTTCAAGATTTGAATTGTACCGGTTTAATTTTAGTATATCGACTAGTATGCAAAATACCAGTTGGTGTGCAAAATATTGATTGGTACGCAAAATATCAACTGGTATATCAAAATTTGATCAAAACAGATTTTAAACCTATATCGTTTTGATTTTGTTAAAATATCAATCCGTACCAACAATAGCAGCCAATACAAAACGAAATTGACAACTTTCTTACGTAATTACAATGTTATTGAGATTTGGTACTATAAGTTTATATTCTTTAAAAGAAAATTAATTAAAAATATTATTTTTTGGACTAATCAAAGAAATCACCTTTTAAAACTTTTTATTTAGAGATATCACTTACTTGATTTTACTATTGAAGGATTTACTGAATAAAAGCTGATTCATTGTCCAAATAAGCAGTCATGGCCCTTTTTTTTTTTTTTTTTTTTTTTTTTTTGTAAGCCAGCAAGTTACGTGGGTTCATAGACGAAAACCATTATCCAGGACAGCTTGCATATCCACTAAAATCCTTCAATGCAAATTTGAGAGAGAAGTAACCTTAATCAAAAATTTTAAAAGATGATATTCTTCATTAGTCACATAAAAAGTGGCATCTTTGATTAAAAAAATTTTAAAAGAATGTCTCTATAAGATGTCTCTATAAGTTCGGATCCCCAATGTTTTTTGGTTTGAACATTGATTAATATACTTTTTAATTTAGCATACTACACAATATATTTATTAAAAATTATTATTTTTTAATATAAAATTAAAGACTAACAAATTTAGAGATACAACCATTTACATAACATACATATACCTATTAAATCGGCTTTACTTATATTATATTTTAATTACTGAATCAATTATATTATTTTTTAATATCTAAATTAAACAAGTGTAAAAATGTATACTAATTGTTTTCGTTTTGGTTTTTGTATAAGAGGTAAATAGTAGGTCCCAAAAAAAAGATATTCAAGTATTTTAAATCGAATAGCTTAATAAAAATGACATTAATAAAATAATATAAATTTTTTTTTATAAAAAATATTTTAATAAAGTCATAGATAAAACTACAATTTTATTCTCTAGTCTTACCCAAAAAACACTAGTTTGTAATTAAAAAATGAAAAGAAGCGTTAAAGTTAAAAGCTCTTGCAAAATTCACACGAGGTTTTGTTTTAATGGCTTAATTTAATAAACAATCTAGCAATTTTTATATTTTTTTCTAGCAATTTTTATATTTTTTTCTGATTCGTTTATTATTTTTAAATGCTTTTAGGTCCATCTACTATCTTTTACTTTTATTTCAATTTAATCTTATTTATTAACTTTCTAACAATAATTTTACTCCATTTGACCAAATTGATCTTCAACTATATCTTTTGTGTATTTTGATTTATTAAAATTAATTTTAAGATAAAACTAATTTTGTGAAGATAGTAAGTTCCTTTTCATCCTCTTATATATGAAGTGTAATCTTTATTACATATTACTTCAACTTTCTTTTCGCCGACTCTCCCTTATAGCAAAAACTACAATTATTAACAAATTTTATTATTTTATACAATCTGCCTATGAATTACTTTATTATTTGAGACTACTTTATTTTAATTTTAATTTTAATTTTTTATTATTTTTATGTTAAAATTAATAGAAGTTTTGTATAATAATCTATTGTAAAATATTTCACAAAATTTTTAAACCATTTAAAAAGAAAAATAACTTTCTAAACTCAAATAAAATTAAAATGATAGTTAATAAATTAATCATTAAATTAAACCCTGTTTTAATGGGTTAAGTCGTTAAGATACCACAGTAAATGCTGTCCGACCACTCTGTAATATTCGTTCATCCTTTCTCAGATGTTCATAATTTTCTTTTGCAACTTGACTTTTGTATTTTAGTCCCAGAACAGGACAACTCAAATTAACCATCATAATGAGACTATAAAGAATAGGTGATTGTCTAGCAACGTCTGCATAACTTGGATTCGACGGATCGGATTTTCATCTTCGCCGGAAAATGAGCACCAGAATCTTTTCTTCCCCTGAATCCTCTATTTCAGGTTTCTTCTTTGTTTGGCTGACATGCTTCCCTTATCTTTTCTCAGTCTATGGGTCTGCTAGTGAAACGAAGCAGAATAGACCTGTAATTAACGTTACAAAACACATCTCGTTTCCTGATTTTAGCCTACAGAATCCCAGAATTTTTTATGATGTGAAGCTTTTGGGAAGCGCCAAGCTCTTGAACGAAAAGGGTGTGGTGCAGATTCCTGGTGAGACCAATTTTTCCGATCTCAGACATCTAGCGGGGAGAGCTATCTACTCTTGGCCTGTCCGTTTGTTTGATCCTTTTACCGAAACTCCGGCGTCTTTTGAGACAACATTTTCTTTTAGGCTCAGTAAAGCAACTCAGCTCAATTCTTCTGGGTCGGAGATGGGTAATCATGAAGGCTCCGGGATGACATTTATCATAGTACCGGACGAATTTACCGTCGGAAGAGCGGGGCCATGGCTGGCGATGCTCAATGATGCTTGCCAGGAGAATTACAAGGCTGTGGGATTTGAATTCGACACCCGACAGAACCCGGAATTCGGGGACCCAAATGACAACCATGTCGGAATTAATTTGGGAAGCATTGTTTCGACGGTGACTGCAAACGCCTACGATGTGGGTGTCTTCCTGAAGGACGGTTCAGTCCACCGAGCTTGGATTTCGTATGACGGTAAGCAAAAATGGATCGACATCCGCCTTGGATTGGACGGCCTTGAATACCCATCAAAATCGATCATCTCCGGCCCTCTTGATCTTTCCCCCCATCTGAACGAGTACATGTTCGTCGGATTCTCGGCATCTACAGGTAACATGATCCAACTCCACCAAGTTCACTCATGGAATTTTACAGCGACTAGTCAGGCTTTTCTTCGTATTCCGTCGTCGGAGAGTTGTGAGAGTAAAATTACCTTCCCAAGTAGTGCCGATCTAACTAGCCAGAAGAAAAACCACAAGAAAGAGCCGCACCTCGTCTTCTTGATCCTCGGAGCAGTGGTGACAGCAGTGGCTGTGGTGGTTGCGCTCTGGTTTTTCTGCAGCAGCAAGGAACAAAATAGTAATTCCAAGCTCGTTGTCTTACCGGAGAAAAAGCAACGGCCAAGCAGTCTCATCAAGCCCCGCCGTTTGACCTCATCGGAGATCTCATCAGCAACTCAGGGTTTCAGCGAGGGAGAAGAACTGGGTAGCGACTGCAGAGGCGTTTACTACAAAGGGAAGCTTTCTGGTGGTTGTGAAATCGCTGTGAAGAGGTTCTCCGCTAAATTCCTCAGCTCCCAGCAAGGCTCAGACAAGCGACGGTTGCTCAAAGAAATTAGCGCCATGAGCCTAGTCCGCCACCCCAACTTAGCCCCTGTCAGGGGATGGTGCCATGACAGGCGGGATGTGATGGTTGTGTACGATTTCTACACCAATGGAAGCCTGGACAAATGGCTCTTCGGAGTTGGCGTGCTTCCCTGGACCCGACGGTTCAAGGTAATCAAAGATGTAGCTGAAGGACTGAGTTTCCTCCACTCCAAGCGACTAGCTCACAAGAACATGAAAACAAGCAGTGTCTTTGTCGATGTAAGTTTCCGGGCACTTTTAGGCGATTACGGATTCGTTCTATCAGCAATGGAATCACAGAGGTTTGAAGCAGCCGTAAGTCAAAAGGCTGATGTTTTTGAATTTGGTATCTTTGTTTTAGAACTAGTGTCTGGAAGGAGGAAATTGGACTCGGAGTTGAATCAAGAAGAGAAGGATTTGGTAGATTTTGCTTGGAGAATGCATGAAATGGATGAGAAGGCGAAGGTGGTTGATGGGAGGTTGGGATCGTTGGTGAATTTGGAGCAGGCGATTCAAGTTCTAGAAATTGGATTGCTTTGTACTCTGAATGAATCAAAGGGAAGGCCTTCCATGGGTGATATTGTGGAATTCTTGAGTTTGGAAAGACATATTCCGGAGCTGCCTGCCAGTAGACCCATGGTTCTGTGCCCTTACAATAGTGCCACCGGTCTCTGCCCCGGTTATTCATGTGGAGCTTTCAATTGAACCCTCAGTCCCACTTGGTGAGACCTGTTATGACCTATGTGTTTCAGCATTAGGGCTTTCTTTAGTTGTGTTGTGCTAAGATTGTTTTTTATTTTTGATTATTTTAAAAATATGTAAAATATTAATTAAAATTAATCAAAATATATAAATAAAAAATAATCAAATGACATTTTTAGATAAAATATTAAAAAAGCATATATAAAACATCCTTAAAAGCTTACGTTTTTTCTTTTTCTTTTTACTAATAATGTTTTACTCTGAATAAAGATAATTTGATTTTTTTAAAATAAAATTTCGAATTCAAATTTAAATTTTATGAACGAAAAAACAAATAATAGAAGAGTTTTTCTCATATTGGATTCAACACAGTTTCACTTTAAATTAATTGGATACAATATAATTTTTAAATACTAAAAATTTAATAGTAAAAAATAAAATAAAAATAAAAGAACAAGCTTAGCTTTTAAAATGTGTCAAAGTAAAGTCCTCATAGAGGAACAATTAATTTTACATTCCCGTTATTGTAATTTCAAATGTTGCTTTAACGCCATGGAAGTAGCATGATGAAGTGATCAACTATTAGTTATGATACTGGCTGGGGATTCGCTTATTTCGACGAAATGATTAATTGTTGATGTTAGACGAAAGGATTTGTTGCTTCCACGAAAAGAATGTTTTCGGAATTGTGTAATTACTCTTATACCCATCGTCTTCATCATTACATACTTTCCTCTCAGTTCTCCCTTTTCTCTCTCCGTTCTATTCCCTTCCATCTCTTCCCCCACCACTGCACCGCCATAATGGGCAGCTTTTGTTCAATAAATTAAACCAGCAAATGGCTATATTTCAAACACAAATCTAATAACCTTAGCTTCCAAGACCCCCAAAATTCAAATGTTGCTGCCTTTTGAAATAAATGAACACTGCAAATTCATATGCTTTTTTAAATGGCTACTGCTAGATCGATTTGAGTAAATAAAGTGATTTTTGAGTTTAAAAGAGTTGAAAGGTTTTAAATTGGGTAAAAAATTGCTATCCTCATGTGCCCATAAAACTGTGTCTAGGGCCGATGGTTACTATCACGGTTACAGGGGCAGATCTTCTGGAATCTGGGAATAGAGAGAAATACAGAAAGAATACTAGAAGAATCATGAAGAAGGGTGAGAACTGAAAATCAACGAAAAAGGATGAGAACCGAGAGGAGAGAATGGGTGAGGATGGAGGCGATGTGTATAAGAATAAAGAATAATTACGCAAGCCCAAAAAGACTCCAATTCGTGGAAGCAACAAATCTGTTGGTGTTTTACCAAAAAAAACAAATCTGTTGGTGGAAATAATCCGACCCTTGTTGTGGTTGCTAAGTACACACAAAATAATTTTTTATTATTAAAAATAGATAATAATTATAATTATTAGTTAATAAAATAATTTATAAATTAATTTTTTTAAATATTATAAATAATTATTTTTTAAAATATATATAAATTAATAAAATAAATCAAACTAAATATCCTTAACTTGTAATTTTTATGACCACAAAAAAAAAAAAATTGTAGCAATAAATAAGCCCGGGTACGTTCCTGGTTCCTCTACAGTTATTAGCATGTGTTATAATTGTGCGAAGAAAATGACATGCATCATTATTGCTATTATTATTATTTATTTTGTGATCGGTATTAATCATTGAATTTTTCTATAAATTTTTTTGTGGTCGATACCAATCATTGAATGAAAAGTACACATTTGAGAAAATGATTTTGGCTAAATACTGATTTCAAAATTATTCTGTATAAGTGTATAACTTTGTCAGTCAACCATAGGCCATAATCTTCTTTTATATGAAGTTTTTTTTTTCTTTTTAAATTAAGAATTGAATTTATTGATAAATAAAATAAATAAGTATTATTTTATACATTAAATTTAAAATTTAAGTTTTAAAACTAGTATTTAAAGAACTTAATTTTTTTTAATACACCAAATCGATACAAGAGATATACTCATTAAGAGAAAAATTAGTTTTAAAATATATAAAATCTAATGCAAAGACATCGTAACTGTAAATATCAAAATGTATATATATAAGGAAAAGTGAGTATTAGTCTATATCATAAAAAATTAGGTGAAAAATGTTTTAAAATTATATCTTTTTAATAAAGTCCTATTAAAAAAATTAAAATATCTTAATTATTTTAAAAGAAAAAATAAGAAAGTTTAGTCTTTTTTTTCATAATACTTTATTAAGATGATTTTTTTTAAATACTCTTCTATCTAATTTTTTGTAGTTTTAACTGATAAATATTAATTTTATATATATCCAAAAAAATTTAAATTTAAATTAATTACATGATACCTAAGATAAAGTGACTTAAGAGATGAAACAAAATTACTTTTTATTATTCAATCTAAAATAATATAAATATATATATATTGCCCCTTTTAATTTTGATGAATAAAAAAACAGAGTTTCTTTTCAAATCACATGAAGTCAATGCACTATTTCCTGCTTATTATCTATATCCCATATTAGAAATGCTAAGTGAGAAAAATGTCACATTCCTAAAATATAAAAAAGTATATAAGTTAAATATAAGGAGGATTATTCTATGTAATATTAATTAATTTTATGTTAAATATAAGTTTTGTTTTAAAATTTATATGTTCAATTTTCATATTGTATTAGAGTCTAATCTTCCTTCTTAGAGAACTTGAAATTTCATGACAGATCAAGCTTGCACGAAGGAAGGGAGGGCATATTAAGCCTATTGGTTAGCTTGAGATCTACGCAATAGATCGAACATGCATGTAAGAAGGGTCTCTTAAGTCCTTAGCCTGAGATCCATATAACTGGATTGATAGTTAATACTGAAACTGCACATGACGAGGGTGTGTTAGTGTCAGAAAATCTCACATCAATAAAATAATAAAAAATATATATAAATTAAATATAAAAAATATTATTCCATATATATATTGTCAATTTATTTTAATTTAAAAGCAAGTTATATATTGAAGCTCTTATGCTTAATTTTCACAAGAAAAAAACTTTTAAAACAAATGTAACTGTCATAAATCATAATGGTGCTAGCTTGGCACAATTGGAAAAGGTCAGAGGTAGATTTGTCCACAGAAACGCATTTACCCAACACAGCAGCATTTTTTTCGCAACCAAGAAGTTGTGGTTAATATCAGAGGCATTTACAATTCCACTTATATTAATCAATTCCCTTACTCTCATTTCTCAGCCTCAAAACTTGTCCTGAAATTTGAAAGCATAAGGACTCACACCTCTCCTCCATCCTCCAAAGTTGCTCAATCGTCCCAAAATTTTGTTGAGGAATAATGGGAGGCTGCGCGAGCAAACCTAAGGAGTCAGAGTTCCAATCTCAATACTGCCCTCCGTCTGAGGTTCCTCCTCCTGCCCTCACGAAGGCTGAACTGGAGGCAGAGCTCACTGCTCAGGTACAACTCCTAAACATGTTCTATAATCAGAAGTAAAGTTATTTTTGTTTATCTAATAAGATTGAGGAAAGTCAAGAGTAATTAAAATATCAGAAATAATAATAAAATATTAAAATATTCTTAACAAATTAATATATAAAAAAATTTAATAAAAATATTTAAATAATTTTATACAAAAGTCTTAACCTTTTAAGATATTTTAATTTTCACCTTTCTTATCTTTATTTTATTTTATTTTTTTTGTCGTTAATGCAGGTGACAGAGAATGGGGATGAGAAAGAGAAAGAGAAACAGGTTGAAGAACCTTTGGCAGATCTTTCTGAACCAAAAGAAGAGGCTTCAATTTTATCCCCGTCCGCAGTTCCAGCTTCTGCAGAGACTACTGAGCTTGTAGAGCCAAATGCTGAGACAGTCGTGGCTGAAACTAAGGAGGAGGAGACCAAAGAGCCAGCAAAAGTGGCTGTAGATGACAAATCAAATAAAGATGAAAAAGATATTGCACCTCTCGTCCAACCGTAGACTTCCTTGCTGTAACATGCCATACGCATTGGCATCATAAGATTTGTATCATTTAATTCTTTGCATGATTGATTTCATTTCTCTGGTACTCTTTGTAATATGATTAATTGATAGACAACAAATGAACATCCCATTCTATAATTTATTTATATTACATTATTTATTTTTTTATTTTAAAAAGTGTTTTATAATTTAAACTACAATATATTTCAAAATACAAACTATTAGATAAGGTCTGTCCTTAAATGCAAGCAAATTTTGAAACTAAATTTAAAAAGGTATTTGGCAAAATTTAAAAAGCAACTTGCTTAAAAACAAATTCTTCTTTTACAAATTTAATAATTTATTGAAAGGAAATTCAAAAACTAGTTTTTAGAGTGGCTTTTAAATAAATTTTGAAAAAAATTACATATATAAATTTTCTCAAAACTTGTTTAAAAACTCTCTAACAATTAACATTTCAAATTTATGAGACAAATAATTTACTTTTAAAATAAATGCTATTTAAACTTTGCCAAACACCTCTTAGCACATGATAAGCAAATTTTGCAAAATCAAGCATTTAACTTAGATTTTCTTTAAATGGATGAACGATGACATAGTATAACACTATATACAATGAAACTGATAAAAAGAAAAAAAATTGGAGATTTTAAATTAAATTTTTTTTTGTTAAATAATAAAAATGGAAAAGTTTTCGTTCTAGTTATAACACATACATGGTGGAATTGTAAATTGTAACCAATCTTTAAACAACTCAATAGTACCAATTAAAGACGCAATAAATAAAAGATGGTTACATACGTCCTATTATATAATTTTTAACATATGTGAATAAGAGTCCCTAGGAGCATCCTAATAATAAAAATTTTGAGGTTTTATATCAAAAACTTCAAATTTGAATTTTGAGATGAATGAAGAAAATTTTGAAAAAAAAAAAATAATTTTTTATTATATAACTTATCATTTGATATCTTAAAATAAATAATATATATATATCGAATAAGGGCTTCTTCTATTTGATACTCCATAAAACTATCAAGTTTTATGATAACCCTAATTTAATTTAGAATTTCTCCCTTTATTTATGGTATATTATTATGATAACCTCTTGTGGACATGAATAGGCTCTGTAAATGAATTTTAGTTCTGCCCCACTTGAAAATGAGAATAGGAAAAATAGTCAATGAAAATGTGACACCTCCTTTTGTTAAAAATCTCAGGACCTTGAATCATTCCAAAACATAATATAGATGAGATATAACTGAAAGCAAGTAACACGTCTCACGTGTTTTATCACTATGATTGAACATTTGACATAATTGATAAAATGCATTCTTATTTTTTCTTTTTTATTTAATAAAAAATTCTAAGGTTCATTTAATTTGTGCTTTAAATGTGCATTAATTTCACATATTCCTTATTAATTTACATTAAAAATATAAAAATTAATTTTATTTTTAATTTTAATTATGCGTGTATAATTTTAATTAGATGTTAAGAAAATTAAAGTTAATTTTTATTTTTTATAATAATTAATTAAAAATTATAATTAATACAACCTCAATATACCTACATCAGAAAAAACCCCAAAATTATAAGTGTAGAAGTGCTTAGTACCATCTCTTCAACCCCGTGTTGATATATGAATTATGAAATTAAAATACCATCTGTACGATACCCACGCACTAAGCTGATGTGTACTGTAATATGGACCCGTGGTCCGTCAAGTGCAGTTTCGAATCTTTAATCTTTCAAATTTGGGATTTTTAACATCATGTTAAATTGCGAATTGGGTGTTTGATTTGATCAGGGAAATGTGTGTATTGAGTTCGGGGGAGACGGGACAGAAGATGGGTTTGGTTCGTAGAATTTTATTTTTGGCTGAAAAATGGAATCTTTGTTGTTTTTTTCTATGACAACACAGATTGAGAAGAGGAACCTCGCGAGAAGGAAGATTAAGAAGCTCTGAACATGGATTAGTTGTTTTTCATAAAGTTTTAGAGTTGAATCGAAGATGGGAATTACAGATAGAGTTGATTTGAGAAGGCTTTTTATTTTGCAAAACCTTAACACTGTACATCAATTAAGGGGAGGAGAATTTGGGTCAGCGCCGAATTTTCTACTTTAAATTCTTCAATTGTCAACTAGAAGTTTATTTTTCTTTTTTTTTT